GAAAAGAAGAAAATCAACGAATGCTCCTCGAATCGGTGGAAGCCAGACGGAGAGTCTGGACATCTTCCTCGAACGAGCGAAATTTCTCGGTTCAAAATCAAGCATCGGGGAATACGGCGAATAACTCGGATTCAAGAGCGCAAAACGCAGATTCCTCGCGGTGCTCCTTTTTGCCGCGCGTTTCTTCGCCGGCGCGGCGAAGGAAGGCAGAGACCGGACCACCGCCATATTGGTTAACCAGCGCGGTGCGGCGTGGCGCGGAAGGGTCGCCCAACACGGGGAAGTCCGCGGTAGAATGAATGCGGGAACGCGGACGAGAGCATGACCGAGAGGAGCAGAGGGAAAAGAAAAAGAGAGAATAGACGGAGAAAGGGAGAGCATGTCGTGTAAGAGAAGAGATACCGCGGTGGAGAAGGAAGAGAAGGAACGGCGAGGAGGAGGGAATAGTAACGCGTAGTGTGCCCGGACAACGCTCCCGCCGGGGCCAACTAACGGTCCAAACCACCACCATCACCACCACCACCACTACCACCACCACCACCATCACTACCACTACCACCATCACTACCATCATCGTTCGCCACCGTCACCGGCGCGCGAACCTCACTTCGATAGTTCTCATCATCTTTCCTCTCCTCTCGCACTTCTTCGCGCTTCGTTTTTCCCTCTCCTACCCCTTCCTTCCGTCATCTCGTCATCGTCGTCGTCATCGTCATCGTCATCGTCATCGTCATCGTCATCGTCATCGTCATCGTCATCGTCATCGTCATCGTCATTGTCATCGTCATCGTCATCGTCATCGTCATCGTCATCGTCATCGTCGTCGTCGTCGTCTTTGTCGTGCTCGTCGTGCTCGCTCGACCGCGTGCAAGTCCTTTTAAACTACAAATTCTACGCAATCGGTCGTTTCCTTTTACATTTCCTCACGGCGGATTCTACGAACGTAGACGAAGCGACGAGGCGATAGCGCGACGAAGGGACAACCCAGGCGTGAACAATCGCGACGGAGGAGATATCTTCCTTTCGCGAGGGAAAGGATTTTTACGCGCGTCCGTTGTCGAGGATTACGGCGATGGTATCTTTTATCGTATCCAGCACTTCCTACTCTCTCCTTATCACGCGCGGCGAATAAAATAAGCCGCGTTCAGCTCGCGAATACAAAAATACAAGAAGTTTCTACTACGTTGCCTTTATCGAAGATAACTTCGGAAGAAACATGTCGCACGCTTACTGTTCGAAATCTAACGCATATTTTCGCAATATTAGTAGTAACGTGAGGTGTACATACCCAACTTTTTGATTGTACAAAATGTCACAAGGACTATATTCCTCTAAAGAGTGCCTTGTTTATTTTAACACATTGATATTCGATGTAACAAATTTTGCGATTGTACTATCTGAATTATCATAAATTCGAGAAGTTTTCAGATCTGGCTAAACATTTAGCCAGATCTGAAAATAATTCCGCGTATTCAAATCAATTATTAGAATATAAAAAATTTTTGCAATATTATCATTATATTTAAGTATCCTATGTATCTCAAAATTATTTTGATGGCCCAACAAAATTACTTTCTAATCTGTATTTAGCCAAATTTCAAATACATCATTGTTTAAACATATTTTTGTTTCAATCATATGTAAAATAAATTCATATAAACAAATATTTTTCATTATCTCTATGATGAAAAATATTTGTATATATGAATTCATTTTGCATACGATTGAAACAAAAATATGTTTAAAAATGAACATTGATTATGCATGGAAAAGATAATTTCATTGATGTACTTGAAATTGAATGAATTCTCAAAGTATCTTCAAAATATTTCGAAAATTTATTTTGCATTGAGACTTTCTCATATTCTTCAGCCAAATGATTTTATTACAAGGTATCTTACTCCCTCTACAAGTTCCTTTGTCGTAATTCAATAATATTCGCGTTGCATATCATAGCGGAACGAAGTGATCGGTCGTTCATTATATCTATTTTTAGACATCAAGGTGCTGTCCTCGGGAACTCGGTGCGGGCATAAAACTGGAGGAACTCGAATATGTGTGACCGTTCGGTAAAAGAGCAGAGAAGAATGAGGAAATTTCATATCCGCACAGCCGTGCGCGATCCAAAGCGGATCCACGAATAAAAAAAGAAACTCCTCCGCTCTATCGGATCAAAGGTCCGAGAAATTCTCAAGTTACAAGATCCTTCACGTTAGACCTAACCGCCTATCCTTTTTTTTTTTACATCGTTCTTATATCGGCGATTTGATGAGCTTCTTCGAGTTTTATCTGAATTTGCCCTTCGTAACCTTCTTTTGCTGCTCTTTCTGGACATGTAACAAGAGGAGAAACAAATAATTTGTGTATTATTTAAAAACGAAAAAAATCTTTCATTAAATGACGTCTAATGACGTCTTTTCTCTTAAGTTCTTGAAAAAACACTGAACCAAATAAATCCTCCATCTACCATAGATCTTTCAAAAGCTTTATTATACAAATAACTTAAATTTTTACATTTTTATGTCTCGAATATAAAAAATATATAGCATATTTATAACTGGATCTCCTATAAAAAGATCAAAGATAAATGTTTCTCAATCATAGGAAAAGATCAAATAGAATAGACTTTTTGTATCTTATTACTTTCTTTTCAAGGCCGCCATAATAAAATAGAATGACCTTGTGATACAACCCTGTCAAATTGTGACGTGCAACCTTTAGAAGTCCGAACAAAATCATTGCGCAAAACTTCAAAGATTTTTTTATCAATCACGCGCAGCAGGTGGGTTACGGAAGGACTAGTTTTTCACACTGGTAAAAAAATAATTAGCCCTTTTTCATGGTCAATATACAGATTTAAAATCACATAAAGAAAACCATTTTAGAGCTCTTTAAAAATTGCTACTTAAAAATGTAGCCAGATACACATCTGAAGATAATTTTTTTCGGCTCTCAAAATAATTATACAGAACTTACTTCTATAATTTAATATATTTTACACAATCCTCTAAAGAAACACAGTTTAAAGTTATTTAACGGTATTTAAAATTTTTCAAATGCAGTTCCTTAAAATCACACATGTAGAATTTTATCTTGAAAATACCAAGAAAAGAGAGAACAAATAATTTTTACAAGGGTTCAATTTTAAATGAAAGGTTGAGAGTTAAATCGGTTATAATAAGTAAGTTCTAAAGAATTCCAAAAATTTTTTCCTGAATGAGTATAAATTTTTAACATTTAATTTGAAATCGAAGTTTTCAATTTCAAACATGTTATAACAAAATTTAAAATCTAAAATCAAGACATCATGCCTCACAAAGCTGTACATAGGAATGGATATAATTAGATCGCCGAAGAGCCGCAGATAAAGAAGGGGCAGCGAGGCACCGCGAGTATCGAATAACCATGTGGCAGCTGATGAACCTTCATCGCGTATTCTAAACCAGGATTAAGAATTTCAAGGAAAAGTGGCTATTGTGAAAAAAAAAGGAGGATATAAAACAAGGCGGAAACTAGAACTCGGCGGGAGGGCTTTTGAGGTATACGTCGCGAATAATAAAAACTATGCACGCGCGGTCGCGAATAATAAGCCGTGCACACGTCGGGATGCACGCACCCGATGCATTATATATTCTTTCGACGTTCCTTCCGGAAAAAAGATGAATAAAAAAGCTTGACTGTCGCTTCTCGGTCAGTCGGCTCTTCTGACCTGTTTGAGGTCAAGATGTATAAAATCGATAGATGTATGAAATTCTCATAGATTGAAAATTCGAAAAACACGTGAACGTAGCAAAAATCTGGTAACCAGTACATGTGACAATTAAAATGTAGATAATAAGGAGTGGAAATATGTAAAGCATATACTTTTTTTACATAATACTATGCCCTTCATAATAAAAAAATAGAAATAAATCTAGTAACTAGTATACATGACTATTAAAATATAAACAATAAGAAATGGTATATATTAGAAATATAAAAATATTTTTTTTTAATACAAGGCTGTGCCTTTCGGTGAATGGTGAAAAAACAGAAATATAAAATGAAACACATAAAAACAAAATTGTATTCTGAATTTCATAGATAGACTTTACTTAATTTATTAAATAATATCCATACTATTTTATTATTAATACATAGAATTATTAATTTCTTTTTAATGTATAAAAACAATTAAAAACAAATTATAGAAAAATAAAAATTAAATTTTGAAAGCGATTCCGCCGGTTAAATTGATTGCCAATGAAGTTAATTGGATTAGTTGAAGTTGTCTTTAGGCATCTATTATGTAATGATGTCATTACTGAATAATTATGAATAATTAGACGATTCTATAAAATAATAACTGTTATCAATAGAATAGCGACAAAATTGTCATTCATTAATAGCAAAATTATTTTATCATTTATAAATAAAAAATTATATTAGTTTGTTAACAATAATCATTCACTAATATCGTTAAAAGATTGAAAGACTATTTGGAACTATTTAATCTTAAGATTAAAATACTTAGAACTCTGATATAACTTAATCATATAAGTTATCTGGTAGCGTGAGCATACCCGAGGGAGGGGGGAGGGGTTCAACCCCTGAAATTAAAAAAAAGTTAAAGTTATGATTTACAAAACTTAATGTTTTTCTCATTCAAAATCAGAAACGAAAAGATATTCTAAGCTCTGAAAAAAGTGTTTTATTAACGCAGAAGTTGCCACTTACTTGTTAATCCCCGAATTAATAACCTCTCTTTCCCCTCCGAAAAAGGATCCTAGATACGCCCTAGTTCGGCACAGTTGCTTGAAGCTAATTAATACACAATTAATTTCTGATTGAATCGTTCCTTGTATACATCACGATTTGTTGAGCGTTTGTGCGGGGGCTCGCGTTAAATTGCGGCTGTACCGCGAGTACTACGAATAAGGAAACTTTCCGCGCGCCAGCGACACAGACACATACGCAACATTCGCGTTGAGTTCTTTGCCGTTTCGCGGTGACCAGTCGTAACGCGGTACCGCTAGATGTCGATCATCGATGTGTGCGTGCGTGTGCATGCGATGCGTGAGCTCGACCGGACGTGTTTTGTTTCATCTCCGCGTTCGCTTTCGATAGTTTCGATTCGCGAGGATTTGACCGCACAGTGTCGTCGACATCGGCCACAGATGCATCCTGCCGCCTCCATTATCGGTTACGACAGCGACGAGGACAGTGGGCGGTCCATCGTTTACAACGATGACAACTTACGCTACGATAGCGATGTCAGCGTCAGTCGTAGCAGCAACAGCAACGGCAGCTCCGGGACCGACAACATGAGCGACAGCGCGTCCCCACAGTCGACATGTCGCGTGTACGAATTTGGCGAGTTCGAGGAGAATTATGGGTGGGTCCAGTGTCGATCCAAGACCTATCCCGATCGCGTGTATTATCACAATACACGTAGCGCCTGCGACACGTGGTGTAGACCTGTCTCGCGCTATATTGACATTCCAGTCGTCTCGATCAAAACGGTAAGTTATAGCGAATTCGATTACCTGCACTACCGAATCGGAGTATATTACAGATTAAAGTATTTTGGGATAGAATTATGCTACCTATTTTTATATATCTTAATGTAAGTTTTATATATGCATTTTGATTTTTTAAATATTCTTTTATATTATATAGGATTGTATGTTATAGTATAGGTAGAATTCTATTTGAAATATTTATGTGAATTAAAAATCTTTTAAAATAAATAAATACTTATTAAATTGATATTCTCAAATGAAATATCAAGCTGAGGATCATATAAATGACTTTCAAATCTTATTATAATATGAGAAACAAAAGGAAGATGTTGTTACAGTGGTCATTAAGGTGCATGATTAAGGGAAAATTTTTTCGGCAGGCGTGTTATGCGGATGATGCTTCGGAATCGGCAAATGACTTGGAACTGATGTCAGTGTCGGACAATGAGAACGAAGAACCGAGTGCATCGAAGAGACAAGTGATCACATGCAATCGAGACAAATCATTGGTCGATGCCTCAGATATCATCGCACAATGTTACTACACACCTCAAGTGGACCTAATCTCTGACACGGATAGCTTGCACAGCTCGACCGGTGCATACACAAGCAAATATTACAAGGGGATAAAACAAGAGGATATAAACGAGAACGACGAAAACAACAACGGCGATACGAAACCAGACCTTTCTTCGTTTGACGTTACAAATTTCCTCGAGATCGAATTCTTCGTGGGAAAAGATACGGTGGACATCAGTCAGACATCCAATTTCCCATTGGAAGATAATTTCAAAATATCTTCCTTGCGTCCGGGACATGTGGTATACGGCGTGCCCCGTTTGAAGAGGATCGATGAGGAGGCATTGATCAAACGGAGAAGAGTTTATGTCCCCAAGGAAGATCCTAAGGGACCTAGGAAAATCATCTGCGAAATGTACGGCGTGCGGACCATCAACTACGATCTCCCTGAACCAGATAAGGTGTTGGCAGCGATAGGAGTGAAAACGTCGACGTTGAGTGGAAGCGACAGCGACAGCGACAGCGACGCAAAAGTACCACCCTCGTCGTCGCGACGCGCGAAAACGACGCAATCGTTTGAATCTGACATAGAGAAGAACTTGCCTCAACCGTTACTGAGCGACTCAAGTTCCAGTCCGTCGTCACGGTCCGATACGAATAGCTCTAGCACAAGTAGTTGCTCTTCCTGCTCATCGTGCTCATCGTGCAATTAAAAAAAAAATCTGACGTTCGAACGAGAAACGTCAAATCTTTTTTATCTTTACACAATTCTTCCTATATTATAATTAATATCGTTTTTTAATTTTTAGATAATTTAATACTTACTGAGTAATTACTTTGATTACGTTTAAAACACTTTGACATTCTTTTTTTTTTATAAATATTGTTTTCTACCTTATGTCTTACGACTAGATAATTATCACAGTATAGATAGGTACTTTTAATCTAAAGTTGATTTAACTTTTTGTTATTTTATTAGTTTAACTCTAATTATGTAATCTTAAACTTTTGTTTATTTCCAATTGACTACATTCTTTTTGTATTCCATTCTTTTCGCGACGTATGAATATGTAAGAAAATATTTATTTGATGTGAAGTTTTCTCTAAAAATATCGATGGAATATCAATAGATACTATCGATAGAATTTCACTACAAAAATTTTTCTTAAGGTCAAAATAAACGAGATCGTAAAATATATATATATATATATATATATATATATATATATATATATACACATATATACATATACACAAAGTATTCTTAAAATATTTTTTTATCATTCAAACAATATAATATGTCGTGTTGCAGAAAAATCTGAAGCGTGAAATGAAACTCCTTTACGTCGGGGTTGATCGTCGTAGATCGCGATTTTTGCGATGTCTTCCCAAGAGAGGCGGGAGAGTAAGAGAAGAGCGTTCTTTCGCTCGCGGGCATTCTCGGTATCCCGCAGTTGGGATCAGTAAGGTAGGAGTGCTGCCAGGGCAGCAGGGAGATGCAGGTGCAACGGTGCGCCTCGAGTCCGTCACCGTGGCGTGCCTCTCGTCTCGCTTTAAACACGAAGGTTGCGTTTTTGCTGGTCTCGCTGTGCCGTGGCGTCCCACCGCGTGGCAACGCGCCGCGTATACCGCTTTGCGGCAGCGCGCGGCGTCAACGGAGCGCGGCGGGGAAAAGCGAGCGGCGGGGAATCCCCTCGCGGTTCAAGAAACGTTCCGCGCGGCGCGTCGCGCTCCGCCGACAACGTTCTTCCGATCGTATCCGAGAATCGATCGTTCCGGCAGGAACGACGTGACTCTCGGAACAGCCGGAATACCTTTGCAAATTGTTCTAAACTTGTTTCTATAGATATAGTTCCTATAAATTAAAATTGATGAATGCGTTAGAAGTTATATTTATAATTTATATTAAATATAGTGATATAAGTTTTTTTTATCATCAGTGGAATGTTGATTATTTGCGTTATTGATTGTTATTATGTTATTGATGAATTATGTTACCGAATGATTGATATAGTCATTATTTTGTTATGCGTACTTTTGAAGCGTATAAGAATAACAGGATATGCCTGGTCTCAGCTGTTTTAAATCAATTTATATCTTAGGCTTTGACCCTTTGTAACTGAAATCTTTTTTGTTTGAAAAATTTATATGATATGACTAGTAAACATTGATGTTGGAACATGAATTAATAATTTCTAGTTTAGTTTAATTTTTATTATAAAAATCAGACTCTTGATATAAGATTTCTTTTTATTATAAAATCAGATTGCTGAATCAGATGCTGAACCAAAGAATAATGCAACAGTAAAATGCTATGCGTAATTATACGATAAAATGAAATGAGATTAAAGATATGTAAATATATAAATTGCGATTTTAAAGTTGCACGATGCTGTAAAGGATTAATATAAGATACGAAATGGTTCATATAAATTTATGACGTATTTGTCAATATCACATTGTATGGATTACGTTTCCTTGTTATGAATTCGATGAGAATGTACAAGTCGGCTCGCGATTCTGCGATTTCGAAATCTTATCGTCGTCTCATGTTGTTTTCCATTTGGATCCGAGGCAAATCCGCGCTGCGCGACTACTCAGGTGCCGCGACAAGTATAATATAAACGCGCCAAGCTCACCCGACAAAAATCACAGCCGGTTTTCTAGCCCGGCATATGGCAGACGTTACCTTCGCGCGAGTGTTTATTCTCAGCCAGCGCGCCGTCTCGCGGTTATTATTCGCGCCCGTCGTCATCGTCATCGTCATCGTCATCGTCATCCTCGAATCGTCGTCGCCGTCGGATTTATCACTGGCGAACGCGAAGAGCCGGCTGGAGAACGGAACCATGAGCGACAGAAGTGTGAAGGGCTCTCGTATGAACGGCCGCTTGTCGTCGACCGCATCGAGTCGCGTCGCATCGCATCGCATCGCATCGCGTCGCATTGCGTCGCCTCTCTTCGCTTCGCTTCCGGCTGTCCGACGCGCGGCTAATTTTCTTTCGGCACGGCGCGATTGTCCAGTTGGTCGCGAATTCCTCGGCGCGATGCCACTGGCGCCATCTGTTGTTGGTCATTAAACGCGAGCAATCGGGCGCGTCGTGATTGATGGTGAATTACAAGGCCTTTCCCTCTTCCCTCCTGCACGTCCTTCTGTCGTCGCTTTGACGATTCTTATTATACAAAACGAAACGATGTAACGAGACACGCTCGCAGATCGCGTCTTTGTTACTATCCTACCTCCTCCTACCTCCTCTTTTCTTCCGCCTCGATCTGCGCGTTTTATCCTCGCGGAAAGATTGCGAGCCGAGCCCGCATGGATCTAGCGAAGAAACAGTTACGCTTCAAAGACGATTAATGAAATGCATTTCAGATTGTCTCGCGGATTCAGCTATTCACGCATATATATCGTGAGGCTTATTTTTCGTCCGGTAAATGCTGATTAATTTTCACTTAGTGTAAACGCTAACGTGTACCATCGCGCTTTCAAGAGTCATGCTATTTTAAAACAACCATCTGCATCTGAAGAATTGTTTTGACGTGCACTTGACGCCACGCGGTAAGCGTCCAAATCTACCACAAAATATTATTAATTTATTGTTATTTATTATCTATTAAAGATCGACAATTTTAAAAAATAAAAATTTGCAACTTTCAAAATTTAAAAAAATCTAAGTCTAAATTATCAAATGAATATCATGATTTGTTTTTAAGACATGTTGTTTAGACATATATTTACAACTTGGTAATATTAAATTGCTTTAAGTTGCGTTTTTCTAATTACCATAAAAACGATTACTATAAAAAAATTGTTATTTTGAGACAGTATATTTGATATAGCGTCATAAATATTTATGAAGCGTTTGTATAATAAGAAATTATGAATTTAATAATGCAATAATCAAATATTTATATAAATAATTAAAAATTTACATTGCCAATCGATATTATCGATTCTTTTTAATTATCTTCTCGAATATCCAAGATTCTGGTGGCAAAAATTTTTCTAGAATTGATAATTCTTTAATGGGTGTTTTCCGGCATCAAACACAAGTCAAAGCATAATTATATCATCTATTGTTTTTGTTGTTTATCGAATGCTAAACAAAGACAATAAATCCGTCTCTCGCAAGATCTCATCGACGCGTCTGACAACGTGCGCCTTCGTGCGATCGTAGAAATTCCGCTAATTTGTCTGCGTCGGGATACCGCGAATCTTCGCAAGATTTATACGATTTTTATCGTTTGTCGGTAGGGAATGGGAGTAGGAAGAGGGGGTATAACATCGACGTGGTAAAAAATCGAGGGCCCAGACACGCGCTAGGTAGATAAGGATCCCCGTGAAACAGCCATGAACTTTGCACCGTGAGAGGAGTTCGCTTTGCTTAACGAGTTCCCGCGCTTCGAAACAATGAAGTACATATGTGCGTGCGTATTCCTTCCCTCTACCCCTCCGCTTCACCGTCTCACCATCACTCGCGTAGTATTCATAATACAGTGAGAAGGGAAGTGTTTTATCGTAATTTGTTATTGTGGCCGCCGCTTAATCCGCCACTCGAGAAGTTCAAGATTAACTTCTCTTGTTATCTCGTTGTATGTTAATTGATGACTATCCTGTGACGATCGATTCTTTCACGGAATGTCTCGTAACTCTAAATATTTACCAGCTAGATGCTATCGTTTAATGACATTTTCTTGTTATGTTACATTAGTTATTTTTTGTATATTATATTTGTTGCTTTTATATTTCTTCCCATTTCGTTTGTTTGTATAAATAGCAAAAGGTATAACTAAAACAAAAGTAAAAAGTAATAATAAAAATAAAAAATATAAATTGTAATTTTTTTTACTAAACAATAGTAAAAAATAATAATAAAACAATAAGTCTTTCTGAATAAAGCTCCAAATTAATGAGAATATACGAAATAAAAATACAATACATATAACAAAATACAACATTAAATAAATGCAATAATTATTGAAGACTTAGACCAATGCTCTTGTAACATTAAACTTTTTTTATGTAAAATTTGATGCATATATTAAAGAAATTTCATATACCTATTCATTATGGGATACTATATTGTTGTCTTCCCCATATTAGGTATGTAGATTAAAGCGCAATTTTGTTCACTCCAATATATATTCATATATTCGGAGTAGTGAATATCTCGCTCATAAAGTTGTATCGATTAACTATGTGTTATATCTAAATATTTATACTTCGTAATCTATGCGCGTACATATCACATTGATATAATTTAATGCTCGTGTTAATATAAGCGAAAGAGCAAAGAAATTATGATGGAGGAAATATTTAAAAATTACAATATTTGGAATGTTGATTTGTGCCATTTATTTTATCACATTACTAATTATTATATTTACTATTGATACTATTACAAAGTTTTTATTTCAATCTCTCGTATTTCTTGAATTAAAATATTTTTATCGATAAGCATTATAATAAAAACGTTTTGTAAAACTTTTTTGAAACAATTTTAAATATATTCAAAAGAAAAAAAGTTTTTATTGACGTAAAAACAAATGCTAAAATATTTAAAATTTGTTTAATTTGTAATTAATGTTATTATATTGATAACTTTCTCGAAATATATATGTAATTATCCAAATATTTGCTTTCTGTGATAATTGCTGCTTATGAAGCAGATGTAGCTGAACGCCTCCGCTATTATCTCTGCTTTCCTTGTTATGAATTTTGAATTTAGGTATATTTATTTTACTTCTGTACTCTTTGTCTTTATTATGATTATTATGTCACACTCATTAGCTCTTGTTGCTAGTTTTGCTTTTTTCGTTCTAAATCCTCTGTAGTTCCAAAGTAGTATTTTTATTTGATCCATTATTTTTTTTATTTTGTTACATTGTCTCTCTTGATTGCTTTGTTTTCTTTAGTACCTTATTGTTTATCTATTCTGTATTCTTGTTTTTTATATCTTTGTTTCTTATCCTTTTTTCTTCTTTTCATTCTTCTTAATTCTACTCTTCTCTTGTTCTTCTCCAATATCTTCTTTTGCACTCTGCGATTATTCTTCTCTGCCTTACTCTTTCATCCTCCATTAATAGGTCTCTTTGCTGGTTCCGATGTCCTTGCGTATATTAATCTTCTTAAGTCTTCATCTCTTTCCATATATAGCATTAACCTTGCTATCAAGCTCATTACTTTATTCTTCTATATCTGATTTACGGGGTGATTCTCTCATTATCCTTCTTAGCTCTCTTGTATTCTCTTCTTCCTTGCAAACGATTTTTTTTTCTCTTTGTATGTTTTTTTTCACTTTTTCTGTTTGTTCTCTAATTGCTATTCCTCTATCTTCCTTTTTAATTTCCTCTTCTCTAATTTCTCTTATTGAATTTTTTCCAGTATTCTTCCATCTTCGTCTTTCTCTCTTTAATTTCTTGTAATTCTTTTTCCTTTCTGTATCTCTTTTGTTTTTCTTGTTCTTGTTCTTCTTGTTCTACTCTTTGTTTTATGTCTTCTATTTCCGTGAATATATCTATATATCTATATATCTATATATCTTCTCTTGACGTTCTCCCTTCCTCCTTTCTTGTTTCCTCAATTCTTCTTTGAGGCCACTTTGTCTTTGCTCCTATCTGTTCTTCTTTGTCTCTATTAATAGTAAGCGATTCTCTTGAGCTTTTGGTACTTCAATCCAATTCTCTTTTCTTCTTCCTTATTATTCTGCTAGTTTCTTTTCTTTGTTCTATGTATTCTTTGAATTTTTCCATGTTTTTTTCTTTTTTGAAGTTTTTTAATGCCTTTTAATATCTTGTTTCTCCTTTTTATTGCTTTCTTGCAGTCCCACCATTTTTTCGAGTTATATCTTGATGATCCAGATAGCTCTGGCCATTTTTCTGGTACATATCTGTTGTATGCCTCTGGATTATTCTCTTTTCCTTCCTAATATTTTTTCTGCTAATATGAGATGTTATGATATTCCATTAGCATGATTATGTTTTCATTTTTCTTATACACCGGGCACGATCTTGCTGTTGACTTATGTTTTCTGTTACAGTTTCTGCATTTAATCTCTCTTTCACACTTTTCACCATGTCTGTCTTCCCCATAGATAATGCACTTCTGTTGACTTCGACACATATCCTTTAGGTGTCCGTATCGATAACATTTATGGCACTGTTCTACTGCAGATGGTCTTACCATGAGTAAGATTAAGTCTTTGAATACTGAGATTTCTTTTTTCAGTACTACTTTTCATTGTGATAATCACATTCTCAGTTTTCTCTTCAACCATTTTCTTTGCTGTGCTGTCCCATTTTTTAAGGTACATCCTCTCTAACTGAAGAACTTCCGATTGGTCTACAACATTTTCCCATAGTTCTAGTACCGAGTCCTTTCAATCCAATATGATCTCCTTGCACGATCTATCCTTTCGTCTATGCTCGAATTTAATACGCTGTCCCTTTCGTTTCCTTCCAGTAGTTCTAAGCAATGATCAGCGTCGTTAATATTTAAAAATCTTAGTTTTACTGTTTTAAAACTTATTTGTATCATGTTAGTTGGTTTTATATTTTTCTTTTTCAATAACTTGCATAGATATACAAAATTCTTACCTTTCTCTCTCTTTGCATGTTCCGGTTTTATTGTGACTATGCTTTTATAATTTCCTTTATGTTCCTGATTAAATTCCTTTTTCATGTGTGCATCTCCGTAGCGTTGACTTCGCTTACGTTTGTTAGTAAACCTCCTACATTCACATAGTCTTCCTTACTGACTTGCTTTTCTTTGTCTTTATCCATGTTTCCCTTATTTTGCGTATCCTTTACGATACTCGTTACAAACTGCTCTGGCGATAGTTGAATTTCCTCTTCTTCCGTCTCCATGCTAATTCTCATGTGCCTCATGTTCCTTTGTTTCCTTTTCTTCTTTTCCACTAGTTTTCACTTTTCATCTTGTTTTTTTCACTAATCTTGCATTACTGCTTCAATTCTGCTTCCGCAATTCCTCTTTTATTATCCTTCTTATCTAAATCTGCCATTATTGATTTGTGTTCTATAAAATTGGCTGTCCTTTTTTTCCCTTATGCGCAAACTTCTCTCACAGTTTCAAACTCTTGTCCCCCCGTAATCCGGGAGGAATTTCTTTATTTTCGATTGTGTATTTATCTATGTATTATCCTATTTTATATCGCTATTTAATTCTATTCTCTAATCTACTCGAAATCACTATCAATTGAACTATTTCTCTATCTATCGCAGAGCTCTATCGAAACCAAGACACGTCCTATCGCAGTGCCCTCTCGCAGACTGTAAAGTGCAGCTATAAAGAACAAATCAGGTTATCTTCACGCGTATCTCATTCGGAGTAATTAAGATTTAATGAAATCTTATTATTTTAGATTTAAAATAACAAAGTAAATTATTTTAATCTTTACTTATATAAAGCTTATTTTCTGATTTATCCAGTTTGTGAAACTTTTTTTATAACTCATCGTGTTTTAGCCGCGTGCTGGTGATCACCGTAACTTAACCTAAAAGGAAAAATGCCTCGCAAGAGAAAGGTATCGTTTTCGTTATTTATTATAAATGTAATTATAAATAAGAATTACGAAAGCATATATAATTGTTAATGGAGAAATTATTAAATTTTATGTGACAATTTATATATATCTTCTATACATACACATCAGTTATCATGCATCGCAAATAATTTATTTAATTTAAATTATTAAATTATTTATTAATACACTAGAAAGAACTTAATTTTCTAATTAAACAAATTTCATCTAGGGTCGATGTGTAAAGCGCAACAAACAGATCAATGTAGGAGAGAAGGAAGAGTTAGTAAAGGCACCTCATTCTTTTGTATTTCATCGTGGATTGCCAGGAGATCATATTGTTGAGCTTACTAAAGATTTTCGCAAGATCATGGAACCCTTTACAGCTTCATCCTTGAAGGCTCGAAAGAAAAATACTATCAAAGATTTCGTTTCCGTTGCAAGTGTGTTACATGTTAGTCACATGTGCATCTTTACAAAAACAGAGCTAGGAATGTATCTGAAACTTTGCAAGTACTGTATTCATTTCATTCTAATGAAATTTATTAATAAAAAATTTATTAAATAAAATTATATTAATTTAAGATAATTGCATATTTAAATATTGTTACAGATTGCCTAGAGGACCTACACTTACTTTCAAGATACATAGTTTCTCTTTGGCTCGAGATGTTATATCTATGTTAAAGAAGCAGTTGGTATATGAAGAGGCCTTTAAAAGTTCACCTCTGTTGATCTTAAATAATTTCAGTGGAGAAGGCATGCAATTAAAACTTATAGCTTCTACTTTCCAGAATATGTTTCCAACTATAAACTTGACGACTGTAAGTTTTTTAAGCTAATTAAAAAGAAAGGCATTTAATTTATAAAGTAATGCTTTTACAGGTTAACTTGAGTACAATCCGTCGTTGCATATGCTTAAATTATAATACAACATCAAAAACTATCGACTTCAGACATTATGCAATTAAAGTTGTACCTATAGGTTTATCAAGAGGTGTTAAAAAATTAGTGCAAGCAAAAATACCAAATTTGTCTAAATGTCAAGATATCTCGGACTTTTTAACGAAACCAACCATGTCCGAAAGTGAAGCTGAGGATGATGAAAATAGTCATGTCACATTATCACAAAAATTGTCTTCAAGAGGGAATCATGCAAATTCTAAGAGTGCGATTAGATTATCCGAACTGGGACCAAGGATAACATTGCAGGTTAAAAAATAAAAATAAAGCTTAATATAATTTATATCTAGTTTATATTTTCTTACTCTATTATAGCTCTATTATAGCTCTATTGCAATCTTAATTAAATCTGTTATAGTTAATCAAAGTAGAAAACGGTCTTCTTGATGGAGAAATACTTTTCCATGAATTTATACACAAAACAGAGGAAGAAAAACTTGCGATAAAAAAGAAAAGAGAAGAAAAGAAAAAATTAAAAGAGAAAAGAAAAAAAATACAAGAAGAAAACAAAAAAAAGAAAGAAGCACAAAAGCAAGAACACAAAGAGAAATCATTAAAGGGAATTCAGAAGAAAAAGGAAAATAATATGCTCCTACAAAAAATTGCAAAAGAATCAATCGAACAAAGTCAACTAGAAGATGATGATGATGTGCAGTATTATCGTGAAGAAGTAGGAGAAGAACCTGATAAAGGTAAATATAACATATATTTATTTAAAATATTAATATTGTATGTGCGCGTGCGCGCAGCGTATACTAACTATCAATAGCAATATCATTTTTAAATTTAACTTGAATGCGATTATATTATCACATAACAATGTAATTTTCTGTATCAGATTTGTTTCAAACAAAAGTTGGTACAAAGAGGCCACATAAGCACATAATGAGATACAAACCGAAGAAAGCGAAATTTGACACATCGTAGATTTAAATAAATTTGTAAAAAATAAAATGTTAAGAATAAAATATACATTATATAAATAATTATATAATATATTCTTAATGTTTGAATTTGTCAGTCCATTTTTATATCAATATATTAGATATATAAATGAAAATAATAATCGTGCTTTAATTTATTTATCAAAATATCTTTGATAAGTAAAAAGAAAAATTCACGGAAAGTAATTTATATCATCAAGAAGACAAAATTATGTATTAACCTTCTCATTTATACAAGAAATTTTTCAAAATGTTATATTGATCGAAACAATATATTTTTATTATATAAATATATTGTTCATCATAAAAATCTGGAGGCAAGAATTACTCTCATCTTTTAGACATTATTCCTTAATGATTATCAAACTTTGATTATCTTGTATATTTTAAGAATATCAACAGTTTATTTTGGCACTACAATTTATATTACTTTTATATCATTGTTTTGTATAAATTAATCTTATATATGAATCACATTTTTTTATTTTGTATTTAGGGCGTGTGTAGATTTTTATGTAATTGTTTTAAAAATTGTTTTATATAATTTATTTAAAATATTGCGAGAGCAAGCGTGGCATAGTAGACAGCGCTTTGGTCTAATACGCCAGCGATCCCGAGTTCGAGTCCCGGTAGACTCAAGATATTTTCATACGCTCGTGTCTCCTCTTGACGGTCTGGCAAACCACGAGAATAATTCTTGCTCTGTATTCTGTAATTCAGAACCTCCTCAAAAATTTGCCGTTCGGAACTGGCGTCAAAAAGTAAGTCCCATGTGCCTGTGCATCTATATGCGCACCATAGACATATGAGAGGAATAGAACAGGCCTTAAAGGCCCTATATGAAGATAAAAGAAAAAAATATTGCAATTATAAATAACTACAATATGTTATTGTTTTCAAAATTATGTATTTAAAGTCAGATATCTTTTATACCGTATGTCTTAGAAGGCACAGTGCAAATGGCATTTAAGACTGATCTAATTTTTCTATAACATTTTTCTATAACTGATTTACTCGGTATTATTGACCATACAATACTCTTTCTCTTTCTCTCTCTCTCTCTCTCTCTATATATATATATATATATATATTTATATATGTATATATGTACATTTGATATTCTAATTAAGTTAAACTTAACTATATCACAGGAATTATAGTATCTTAAGAAAAATATAAAGTTGGCAAAAAATATATTGTCACCATTTGCAGTCAACGTATAAAATAAGTAATCAAATTCGCAGCTGCATTAAAAAAAAATATATATCGTAATATTAAAAATACAATATTTACATGTATATTTTATATGCTTCATATATATTACGGAAACTTTTAGACCTAATTATCGTCAAACACTTACATGATAGAGATATCCATATCATTATTATTTTATCATTATTAACGTTAACTTCGACAAAAATTTGGTCAAAAATTGGTGTAATGCAATTGAACGTTTCCACAAATCATGAATTCTTGAAACATAATAAGTTTGCATACTCCTCTATTTGTTTTTCAAGTTCCTTTATAGTTTTGGATCGAGATCGACATAATTCCTTCATAATTTGCTTTTCTTTCTCCAATTTCGTTATTCGTACATCATCCTATATAAAATTATATCAAATTAACAATTATTATATCGTAAAATTTAAGCAATCAATGAAATAAATTTACCCTATTTTATATCTTAATTTATAAACATAGATTTAAATTTCAATCAAGATACTTACATCAATTATACCGCTGCTCGTGCCACAAAATCGCAACATATTATTCGGCATCGTTTGACATGCTTCATCTACCCTATTTACAAGCCTGTGTTTGCATGCCTCACATTCCTTTGCACTTGTACGCAGCATGGCCATCTGCAGTCGTTTAATTTCGGCTTTTAGCTCGCTATTCTGTAAAAATAATTTATAAAATTACGATCAAATTCGTATTTACAACCATGATGCATGTAATAATTAAAATATTATAATGAAGTACTTTGTTATTATATGCCAACAGATGCTCCTGTAGTTCTTTACACTTCGTCTCATAAGGGAAACTTCCGCTGCGTATTTGCAGTTCCAATGTCGCGATTTTTCCATTCTTCGATACCACTTCCAGTTGTAACTCCCGTATCTTCTGTTTTAACGTCGCGCAATTACATTCGTCATTATGAGACTTTTCAGCCGTATCAGATACGTTTGTTCTCTGTGAAGATTGCAATCGATCCTGCTTTTTACTTTCGAGGGCTTTGATTTTGTCCCGTAACTCGTCAATTTCGGCGCGACAGGAGTACAACTGATCTTGCAGTCTCGCGTTCTCGGCGTCGTGCTCGCGAATAACTTCCGCCAACTCTTCCGATTCTTGATCGAGTTCCACGTTCTTCTCTGTCAGATCCTTTATCTTGCTAATATAAGCCTCGACGTCCTTATTCTTCTGACTTAACAGAACTTTCATCGCTTCTAATTCCAATGCGATTTTATTTTTTTCTTGCAACAAGTCGTCGTACTTTTCACAGGCTGTATACGTGTCATTGTGTCTGGACTTGTACGCCGCCAGAGTTTCCTTTAACTCCTGATTGTCCTTACACGCCGCGTCATATTGGCCATTCAAAACTACCAGTTGCTTCATCAGATCGGTCTTCGCAATTTGCAATTCCGTGATTCGATTGCTAGCACCGTCTAAATTATTTCGCAAGGACCTATTCAAGTCTTTGAGTTCTTCCATTTGCTCCTCGGCTTGGCTCTTGCTCGTGCTATTCCTGACACGTTTCTCTAACGTCGCGCATTTACGTTGTAACGTCGCGTAATCGTCCCTCAGCCTGTTCGTTTCTTCTATCAAAGCTAGGTTTTTATCATTTAATTCAGCTACGTGCTTCTGCAACTCGACGCTCTTTAGCTCTTCAAAGTTCAATTTATCTTTAACCGCGTCGATCTTCCTTTCATTTTCTTGTTTTAGAGTCTCTATTTCCATCTTGTACTGCTCCATGCTGGCTTTCCGCTCGCTAATTTGTTGCTTCAGCAATTTGTTCTCAGGCACGATCGTCTCCAAATTAGCTTTATACTCGGTTAGCTCGTCGCATTTAAGTTTCAAATGTTTTTTAATTTCCGCAATACGTAATTCTTTCTCTTCTAATTCCTTATTTAAATCGTTGTAAGTTTCCGTAAGGTGTTCCATCTCGGTCCGCATTGTCTGAATAATCTGATTGTTTTTCATTATTTCGCTACTTTTCAAGTCGATAATGTTCTTCAGTTGCTTCTGATTGGCCTCGAGGCCCTCGATGTTACTCATCAGTTCCATATTCTTCGTCTTAAACGACTCTATTGTACATGCGAGATCCTCGACTCGTTTATTATAGGCCTCTTTCTCTGATTTTAGTCTCATCTGAAATTCTGTTTCTTTGCTTCTGATCGTCTCCTGTGCTTGTTTCTCTCGTTTTTGCGCGGTAATAATCGCCTCTTCGTTCACCGTGTCGATCTTGGAATATTTATTGTACTCAATTTGCAAGTTACTGAGATCTGCTTCGAGCAGGGTATTCTTCTGTCTCAATACCTCCCTATCGCAATTGCTCTCTTCTAAAACACGTTCCAGGCGTGCGATCTCCCTCCGCAATTCCATGGATACAGTTTCTCGTTCGGACAAATCCTTCTGAAGTTTCTCTATCTCGTACTCGAGCTCTTTCGCCCATAACGCCGTACGTTTCTCCGCGTCCACGCTCTGCCGTTTTTCATCCTCGAGCTTTCGCTTTTCCTTATCAAACTGTTCCTGCATGGTCTTGATTATCTCTTTCTCTTTCATCAAAATAGTTTGCAAAAATATCTGAAACAACTCGGTCACCGATTTATCCGCGAATTCCTGATTGTTGACTTTAGGCTTGAGAGATTTGATCTCCTTAATGATACTCTTCGACGTATCGTTCAATATATTTTTAAGCTTCTTGTTGTCGTCGTCTAACGTCTTGTCTTGCTGCAACTTGGATTGGTACTCAGTTTTCATTTTTTCAAATTTATCCTCTATACCGCGTAGTTTGATCATTTCCTGTTTTAAGTAGTCATTTTCAGAAGTGCACTTGTTTACTTTTTCATTAAGCTCCGTCAATTTGTTTTCCGATTCTTTAGAATAATTAGCGAATTCTTGCGAGATAGTTGCTTTAGAATTAGTTAACTCTTTGTTCGATACTTTTAGTAATTCTAGTTTTTCCTTATATTCTTTCTCTAAAACAACGAGGTCTTCGTTTAGTGATTCTTTCTCTTCTTTCACTAAATCCAATTCGCGTTGTAGACAGGAATAGCTCTGACGTAGCTCATTCACTGTTCGTTCCTTTATTGCTTTTTCTTCTTTTAAACTTTCCGCTTCAGCTTCGACAAGCAGCTTTTCATTCTCGATCTGTTTACATTTTAAGGTAAACTCCTGTAACTTTTTCGTCATATCTTGTATCTCGTTCTCAAGAATATTGGCTTTCTCCAACGCAATAGTATGCGCGAGTTCATTGTCTGACAACTTTTGCAGCAGCTGTTCATTAGCGAGCCTCAAAATATTAATTTCATCTAATTGAATGGATTCTTTCTCGTTAATGAACTTTGTCAGGTCCGACTTGATGCTCTCGTTGTTTTCCTTGATTCTCTTGAAATCATTTTGCAAATTGTTCACAGTTTTTGCAATATTTTCTAGCCTCAATGAAGTTCTACTTGAAGATTTCTTAATGCTGGAATTCATATCAATCGACAATGAATCCGTGATAGTATTGTTCTGCAGCTCTTCAACCTCGTTACACTTCTCTTTATACAAATCTGATAATTTATTATGATCTTCTTTCAAAATTTGTAGTTCATTATTTAGAGATTGGAGTCTTTCCTCAACGAAGCTGACGTTCTCCGAAATACTGGCGTTCAGAGATAAATTGCCCAAACTTACGTTTACATCCTCTTTAGCCTTCAGAATGAGCGCATCGCTCTTTGCAGATTTGCTGTTAAATGTTTTGTTCATGTTCTTCAATTTTTGATTAAGACTCTTCACTTCGAGCTTCAACATCCTCCGGCTCTGCTCTAACTCATTCACATGGGTGCACTGAGTACAGGCACTTAATTTTAAATCGCTAAGCTTTGTATTAAGATACTTGAGGCGATTAATTTCCTCTTGCAAATTTAAAATCTTCTTTTCGGCATCGTCGTCCAATACGGACTTATTCATTGTATCGTTCATCGTATCGTTAAATAATGTAGTATTGTTGGAAGGATTTAACTTTCGCACATTATCCAACTCTTCGATAGTATCGATTAATTGACTGGACATTTTCGAATTTTCTTCAGTTAAATTTTTCATATTAACTCTCAACTCCACCATCTCGACTTTCAACTGAGTATTCTCCTTTCTCAATTGCTCGACATCGTTATTATCAATATTCTCTTTATCTTTTAATGATAATTCCAATTTACTATTTAAGATATCATACGCTTGTCTTAGTTCTTCAATTTCCTCAATTTTGTTCATCAAATCAGTGGAAAGTTCATTGTACTCGTTTGTTAATGTTTCATGTTTCACCGTAAGATCCGTGAATTTATCCTTGTACGCGCAATCATGGTCATACAAAAGCGATTTACTTTCTTTTAACAACACAAGTTCCTTCGTCTTATTTGTAATACTGGATAACAATTCTGTATTTTTTGCCGTCAATGCACTAATCTTTTCTTCATACTTGTGAGTTATTTGTTCTTCGTTCAAGTTCATATCAGGCATTTCCGAGCGAAGGGTTTCCAATTGTTCGTTAAGAATCGCTAAATTATTCTCTAAATCGAGTTTTTCATTCATCATCTTTGAATTTTTCATATGAAGTTCATCGATCATCTGTTGAGATTGAACGGCCAATTTCTCATTGTATTCCTTTTCCGCTGATAATTTACTTGCTAATTCGCTGTTCTCGGTTGTTAATAAATGTATCGTCTGATGCAAGTTTTCTATGTCAGCTTTCAAATCTTGCACGTCGTTTTTTATTTCATCCAGTTCCTGAGTTTTCACAATCAGATCTGCAGATACTGCTACTAATTTTGCGCTATCTTCGTCGAGAGATATTCTCGTAGATGATAATTCGTCTATAACTTTCAACGAATCACCGTTGCTCAGATCATACTCATTATCTGATATTTTTGTTGTCCGTTCTTTCAAATATGTATTTTCATTCTGTACATCACATATGATATTTTGCAAATCATTTATACGACTCTTTAGATGATTAATCTCGTCATCTTTACTCCGATCGTCCGTTAGTTCCTTTTCGGGACTCTTCAACGATTGTTGACACGATTTTGCAGAAACCTGCTCGTATTCACTTATTTTAGATCTCAGATTTATGATTTGTGCGTCTAGTTCTTGAATCTTTTGTAATTGTTCTTCGTGAGTTTCGTCTTTCGCCGAAATGCAATTTTCAGCATTAGCGAGTTTCTCTTGTAACTCATGAACCGTAGACTCGAACTCTTTCATTTTCGAAGTAAGATGTTCAATCTCTTTTTTCATATCATGAGTCTTCTGTAATTGCAATTCCTGTTCGTTTATTCTGTTCTTCACTAAATTGCTATGCAGTTCCGCTTCTTTCGACTTTTCTTGCAGTTCACGAACTATATCTTCCAGTTTACTTTTTTCAATCGTAAAATTCTCAATACATTTTTTCTGTTCCTCAATCGTTTTCTCCGCTTCTGCTTGTCGTACATTTAATTCCTCTTTGATTGTGTTATTATTCAATTCTGCTTTGGTTAATTTCTCTTTCAATTCAGAAATAATCTGTTCAGATTTATCATTGGATGCGAGAGTTTTATCTGTCTCTAGACTATCAATTTCGCATACATTTGTTTCATAGCTATTTAATTTACTAGTCAATGAACTGTTTAGTAATTCTTTTTCTTTCAATTTTTCTTCGAATTCAATAATTATACCTTTACATTCATTTTTCTCGATTGCAAGAATTTCAACCTGCTTCTCTAAATCGCAGGTCTTTTGTATGAATAACTCCTGTACATTTAGTTTAGTTTTCATTGAATCATTCATCAATTCTACTTCTTTTAACTGAACCTTTAATTCGTTATTGACTCGTTCAAATTCCATTTTTTCTTGCATAACATCCTGTAGTTGTTCTTCCAGACATTGAAGTTTATTTAAATCTTGCTGGTATTTACGCATTTCCTCTTCCTTTACATCAATTACTGCTCTTGTGTTTATTAACTGCTCTTGGAGCTTATCAATAGTAAGTTTAAATTCGTTATTCTTCGATTTAAGCTGCGCAATCTCTTTTTCTTGATCTTGAAATTTTTTTATTTCCAGTTGTTGTTCGTCCAATTTATTTCTCATCAAATTATTAGTTTCTTCGGCTTCTCTCAATTTATGTTGCATTTCAGAAGCGAATACATTTTTTTCTTCTTGAAGATTTTGTACCGTTTGTTGTTGTTCATCCAATTTATCTTTCAATGAATTATTATGTAATTCTGTTTCAGTTAGCTTATTTTGAAGATCAATTATTTTACATTGCAGCTCATCCTTTTCAAAAGAAACAGTCTCTTTAAATGGCGAGAGTTGTATAAGTGGTTTTTCTATATTTTGTACTGTTAATTTATCTTCTAATAAAATATTGCGTTGTTCGGCTTCTTTAAGCTTTTTGCGTAGTTCAGACGCCACATGTTCGTACCCATCTTTCTCGGATGTAAGAAGGACTATCTGCTTCTGTAACTCGGGAATATTTTGCATTTCTATCTCCTGTGTAGATAATTGTGCAATTTTCTTTTCTAAATCTGGTATCCTTTGTATTTCTGCCATTTGCACGCTTAATTGATCTTCCGCTTCAGTGTAACGTAATTCAGCCGCAATTAACTTTTTACGAAGTTCAGATGCTATATGTTCGAAAGAGTCTTTATCAGATTTGATATTTTCCAACTCTTTTTCCAACTGTGAAAATTTTGTAAGTTTTTCTTGCAGTTCAAAATTAACATTTTCTTTATATACTTGTTTCTCCAAGGTTGTAAATTCTTGTAGTTGAGAATATTCTTTTGACAAACTGTGGATTCTGTCACGTAACATTTGCTTTGGTGTCCCAGGAGACTCGTCACTAGTTATAATAAAGAACAATTAAAATAATCGTAAAACAAATAATTCGAATAAATTAATTTTTCTATATTATTTACCTTTTAGTCTGAGTAGATATGTCGACTTTTTCATATGTAGCACTATCATTATCATAGTTTATAGGCGATTTATGACTGACTATGCCATCTATAAATTTAACATTGCGTTTACGATATATCACAAATGTATCATCCTCGCTGTCGTTCTCTTCTTCGCGATTTGCTTCACTGGCCAAAAGGTCTTCTTCAAAATCAGCCAAAATCGGTATTTGGAATGCTATAAAAAAATACATACAATTTTAAGCTTCAATTTATCAAATTGTTTAATTTACATCATATAAAAAGTTAACATTAACATACACATATCAGCTGAATCAGCTGAATTTCTGCTATGCGATTTGATAGGTGACATTTCTTTGATTGGTGATAAATGTGCACATTGAAACACAGATATATTTGGTTTATATACACCAGAACCGCACCAAGTCTGTCTTCTTTTTTCTTTACTTTTGAATGACGTGTTATTATAATTAGCAGCAGTGATTATCCGAGTTTGTAATAATCTAATGCGTTCTTCCAAATTCTGATTAATGCGATCTTTCTCTTGTATCTTAGATTCCATTTCTTCAAAGTCAGTTGTTCGAGTCATCTGTTTCATTTTCTAAAAATATATATTTATTATATGAGTCAACAGATTTCATATATTATTCAAATATTTCTTAAGACTTTAATAAAACTTTATTATTTTGTTATATTCATGATTTATGCCTACCTCTAATTCTGTATGCAACTTATCTATTTGTTTTGCATAACGTTTTAAAAGCACACCATCGGACATAACTTCGTTTAATTGAGGTTTATTCTTTATATTCCTAGCTCTAGCTGCAAACCTATTAAACAATAAAATAATATTACAATTAAATATATTTACATTATAAATATATGAAGATCAAAAAATAATTTTAAGAAGTAAAAATACTAACGACAATGTGCATTGAGTTTCATCTAGTGCAGCTGGTGTTACTGCACATATTATGACAGTCAACGCATTACCACCCAAGGAAGGTTGAAGCAATCTCGTTAATTTACTATCTCGAAAATTTATAAACTTTTGCGAGTCTTGTGACTCACTCAGTTGCTTTATTACTAAAGCCAATGTAGAAAGTGACAAGTTAATATGACGTCCTTCCTTAAAACGTTCTCCAGTAGCATTCGTTTGCCGTACTCTTTCTGAACCAGCAAGATCTACCATATTCAATTGTGAAACTTGTATTGCACCATCTGAGGTAGAACCGACTTCTCGACTTTCAATTGTCTGCAATATGCCATTTTTTTGATAACTTTTGAACTTAGAAACAGATCATTTTATCAGACAATTCTATTTTTAGAAATATTTAATATATAATAAAAGTATATAATAAAATAATAATAAAAGTATATAAAACTAGCATTCTTACAATTCTAAATATTGTATGGCTCCTGCTGCTTCGCTCATTCATATTTGTTTCACCTATCCTTCTGTTTTTATTACCTTTGTGCATTATCGACAAAACATTCTCTGGACAATTAGTAACCTCCTCTTTACAGTTCACAAATACCTGACCATTCACATCCTCGTGTATTACCAAACCTTTAATTGAATCTTTGTTTAAAAGATCATTGACTTTTTCATTATAGATCTCTAAGTATGATACTCTGAAAAGTTAATGCATCATTAAAATATTGCAACTTATCAGCATTACAATTTGTAGATAACAATTCTTAAACATAGATAAGAGAGATTTCAGAAATCGTTCTTTCATAATGAATATATTAACCTCAGTAAAAACTCGCGTCTTGGAGTATTGGCTATTGCGTCAAACATATGCTCAATAGCCATAGGTATTATGCCAGGTTCTTCTGAGGTACCCATCATAGTATATGTTTTACCAGAACTTGTTTGTCCATAAGCAAATACTGTGCCATTAAATCCATTTACAGCAGCATCAACAATAGGCCTGACGATATCAAATACGTCATTGTTACTGGCATTGGTATCAAAAATGTGATCTGTAAATACATTATGTATCAATGGATGCTTTTCAATAAGAGATACATATCGAGTAAGTCTAATTACTATTTGACTTTATTTAGCATTCAAACAGGAATATTAAACAAAGTCATAAATAAGAACAAAAATAATAGATAATAATGAAAGATATGATTTGTAGAAGTAAAAAAGAAAACTTTAGTGCAGTTTAGATGCAATGATAAAAAGACCTAAACATCACAAATCTTGAGTTACGAAAGATAATAAAATGCTGACATTAGCTATAAAAATAACCCCAAACATAATAATGTTGAATGATTTATTCATACAATCAAAATTAATGTTGAATCATACATTTTTTTTTAAGTGCATCATTTTTACTTGTGCATAAAAAAAAGGCTCATTCAGAAAATTTTCAGGGAAGAAAGGAAAAGATAAAACTTGACAGAGAGTGCAACCAAGAAATAAAATTATGTATCACGGAAGGAGGATTTTCTGGGGAGTTATATGGATCAATCCTGAACATATGGTGGACACATGTTTCAGGATTGATGATCGCGTTAATTTCATACCGAACTCGAATCCACCGTCGGCTCGTTTCCTCAACTCGGCGTCGGTGGCCACAATGGTGTTCCCCTGAGTCATCCATTGTATCGACAAATTCTCGTCTCTTTCTCGTTTGATGAGCGGCCTAACTTTGATGGCCACTTTGACGCTGTCTGACATCGCGTGCGATTCACTCTCGGTCCGACAAGTTCAAGGATACACGCCTTTCGCGTCGCCTGCCAAACCCGGAAAAACTACATTCGTAAACACACAACGCGTGACCAACAGTCAATCGGCGGAAGACTGAACGCTCGTTGTGCGTTTTGTTCAAATTCAAATCACGCACTCGCTGCGCATGCGTCGATCGTCACTAATCGCGGCAGCTGCTTTTCTTTTAGAAAACACGATTAACAGAATTGGATGTTTTCTAAAATTCATTACTAATCTTGATAATCTATAGTTCACGTGACATGTGTTATACCATTTCGTGCGTTAGTAATAAATTTTGAAGTATCTTTTGACGCAAAAATTGACAAACTCCATCGACATTATTTGACTTTCTTAAAGACCCTAGAAGTGTCACTAGTGTTTTTTACTGCAGCATCGCTATGACGAGTATGCGCGTGAAGTTAGCTGCGCGATTTTCAAACTCTTCCTCTATTCGTTCATTGTATCAGCGAGCGCGTCGCGGATTATTATAACTTTGTGCGGCGATCTTTTGTTCGCGTTATCTCGAACGACTCACGATGCAAAGAAAGTGCATTGCGATTTAACGTCGGTTGGTGCGAAATGCGATTATCAATCAATATCAATTTGTCAAATTGATAAATTGATTTCGGCACAATGTGTTAAAAAATTGGACGATAGTAGACGTGAAGCGCAACTGCAAGTGACAACCAAGGAGAATTAAAGATGCAAAAATGGCAGCGAGGGATGAATCGCGTGGAGAAGAAATATAATTGGAGCGAGATAGCGGTGAGTGATATTTAATTTCAAATATGTAACTTAATAGCATAAGTATAACAATG